GAGTTTTTTTTCTCCGACGAACTAACTCTCGTAAAAAAATGGCGACACCAACTTACAGTAAAAATCTCTCCTTTATCAGTCCTTGTCTTAATACTACTACACATCTAACGAATCTTTTGCCTTTTGTCTTTTTGCTTTCTTTAAATCGAATCAATGACACTTTCGAAATTTTAAATCTTTTTGTTGGCCCTTGTTTAGAAAAAAAATTATTTTAGTGATTTTAGATTCCTCACGTTGTGAATTTGCAATATTATAATTTTGTGGAAGAAGAGATTCCAAATATAAAAAAAGTAGGTGTCTCTTCATTGTTTCGAAGTGTAAAGAGTCACTCAAATTTGTTGTTTTGTTTTGGTTATATATATTTTGGAAAACAGAGGAAGAGAGACATATCCAAAAGAGTTATTGGATGGAGCATTCAAGTGATTTGACTGTTGAAGCTATGATGCTTGATTCCAAAGCTTCTGATCTTGACAAAGAAGAAAGACCTGAGGTATGAATCTAATGAATTTGAGAGTTTTGATTGGTTGTTTGAGTTTTGGAACATGTTAGATACTGTTCTTGATCAATTGATACAAAAAGGTTTGATAAATTGAACATCTTTGGTATAGGTTCTCTCTTTGATCCCACCGTATGAAGGGAAATCGGTGTTGGAGCTTGGAGCTGGTATAGGTCGATTTACTGGTGAATTGGCTCAAAAGGCTGGTGAAGTTATTGCTCTTGATTTCATCGAAAGCGCTATTAAGAAGGTTATGTTTAAAAGTTGAAATGTTGTTTTTCTATTTTAGTTAACCATATTTTATTTTTGTTTGGTTCTTTATGGTGATGTTGTTGTTTGCAGAATGAAAGTGTTAATGGGCATTACAAGAACGTAAAGTTTATGTGTGCTGATGTTACATCTCCTGACCTGAAAATCACAGATGGATCTATTGACTTGATTTTCTCAAATTGGTTGCTCATGTATCTCTCTGATAAAGAGGTGAAATCTGTGTTTCTTTTACTCGTTTTTGAGTGTCTAGAGAAGAAAGTCTAAATCTTTTTCGATGGATGAAGGTGGAACTTTTGGCAGAAAGAATGGTTGGATGGGTAAAGCCAGGAGGATACATTTTCTTCAGAGAATCTTGCTTCCATCAATCTGGGGACAGCAAGCGAAAATCCAACCCGACTCACTACCGTGAACCAAGATTCTATACAAAGGTTTCGACTTTTTTTTCTAAAACAATCTGTTTGTAAAAACTCCTGAATTCTCAATTATTCATATGGTTTGAACGATATTTGAAACAAAGGCGATGTTCTGGCATGTGAGTTAATTTTAAGAGTTTCAGTAGAATCTATAAAAGACTGACTCAATTGAATTAATTTCATCTTGTATCTGTGAGATTAGCCACATGGAGGTTTTCTTACATATATGCTATATATCAAGTTTGATAAGGCTTTAAAAATGTGTATATCAATTCATTGATTTGTTGTAACTTGGCTCCACTCTTGGTACTTTCTCGAGTCTAATGTGTTGGATGTGTTGAGTTCATTCTTTTAGATCTGACAATTTTTAAAAAAATATATGGTGTAATGCAGATTTTCCAACAATGCCAGACACGTGATGCGTCTGGCAATTCATTTGAGCTCTCTATGGTTGGTTGCAAATGCATTGGAGCGTATGTGAAGAACAAGAAGAATCAAAATCAGGTAACAAACAAATGTTGTTTATCAGATTGTCTACTTTGCTTGTTATTTGATGATTGACAAGAGGTAAAAACTTTTATTATCTATGTGATTGCAGATTTGCTGGATCTGGCAAAAAGTCAGCTCGGAGAAGGATAAGGACTTCCAGCGATTCTTGGACAACGTTCAATACAAGTCCAACGGGATTTTGCGCTATGAGCGTGTCTTTGGGCAAGGATATGTGAGCACTGGTGGATTTGGTAAGTACATTCTTAACTATTATCTTCATGAGGACATTTTGTGCTTTGTCTGCGAGTGTGTGTTTGCCTGACTCTTGTCTCTAAGTTATTGTTTTTCTTTAACAGAGACGACTAAAGAATTTGTGGCAAAGATGGAGCTTAAACCGGGACAGAAAGTCTTAGATGTTGGTTGTGGTATCGGTGGAGGTGACTTCTACATGGCTGAGAATTTCGATGTTCATGTTGTTGGAATCGATCTTTCAGTCAACATGATCTCTTTCGCATTGGAGCGTGCTATTGGACTCAAATGCTCAGTCGAGTTTGAAGTTGCGGATTGCACCACTAAAACATATCCGGATAACTCTTTCGACGTCATTTACAGCCGTGACACTATTCTGCATATCCAAGTACACAAAAACATTTCTTTTTCACTCTTCAAGATGGTTTTTGGGTTGTTAATCATCCTCTGCATCATTTGTCTCATTTTCAGGACAAGCCGGCTCTATTCAAGACGTTCTTCAAATGGCTTAAACCAGGCGGTAAAGTTCTCATCACCGACTACTGCAGAAATGCTGAAACTCCGTCTCCTATATTCGCAGAGTATATCAAACAAAGAGGATATGATCTCCATCATGTACAAGCTTATGGACAGGTTTGTGTTTTTTGTTAGTTCTCATTAACATCACCTACATCATTTTATGCTTTTGAGGGTATCATGATTAGTGAAAACCTTCTTCCCGTAGATGCTGAAAGACGCANGCTTTGAGGATGTGATCGCNGAGGACCGTACTGATCAGGTGACTCCCGCATAAAACATACATGTATACATTTATTTGTATAATGNNGATTCTAACATAAACGATTTTTCGCAGTTTGTACAAGTCTTGAGGCGTGAATTAGAGAGAGTGGAGAAAGAAAAAGAAGAATTCATCAGCGACTTCTCGGAAGTAAAATCATTCCTCATGACCGATTCATTGAAGAAAACTCCACTTTATTGCGTCTTTCTCATCGATCTCAACATATTTTTCAAACGTTTTTGTAATGCAGGAGGATTACAATGACATTGTTGGAGGATGGAAATCAAAGCTTGAAAGGAGTACATCTGGTGAACAAAAATGGGGTTTATTTATCGCCAACAAGAAGTAGAATCCATGGTTTTACCTCAAAACTCATAACGATTTGTGTTCCCTTCAATAAAATTGTTCCTTGGAGGACAATACTTGTGTTTTACTATCCTCGAACCGCAAGATGTAAGAAAAATTCGTGTTGTTTCTGGTTTTAGTCCAATCTTTCACTGCTTTTGTTATATCTCCTTCTCTCTGATCAAAATGAAATGGAGTCATCACCACTTCACCAGTAGTCTCTACAAGAACATGAACCATCCTTAAAATGGTGAAACCTGTTATTATCCCTCAAGATAATATATCTCCCCGTGNTTTTCNCCATATACTTGATGGCATTATGGCAATCCTCACACACACGCAGATTCTTCATCACACGGATTGGTTTCCCTGAAGACACACGCATTATCCCATATGCTACAGCCAGTCTTTCGCTATGGTACCGAACCATACGCTCCTTCTCTTCTTCTTCCACATCATGAAGAACCACACTCGTCTTCGAGACATACCCTGCTTTCTTTATCCTCAAATCAAGATCATCCAAAAATGCATAGATCTCGTCTTTCTCGGGATGAAACTCATCCCCAGCCGAGAAANTATGAGTCTTGTTCTGATACTCAATCCAACTGTACCCTGGAACTTTCTTCACCCCTTTGTCCCGCATTTTCACTCGCAGCTTACCAACATCTCCCCAGCGACCTGAAGCAGCGTACATATTTGAGAGAAGAACATACATACCAGAATTTTCAGGCTCCATAGCGAAAATCTTATCTGCAGCTGTTTCAGCTAGCTCTGTATTTCCATGTACTCTGCTTGCACCCAGTAAAGTTCCCCAAATTGCACCGTCTGGCTCAAAGGGCATGTTTTTCATTAGATTGTGAGCTTCTTCCAGAAGCCCAGCTCGACCGAGAAGATCAACCATACAAGCGTAGTGCTGTGAGTTAGGCTTTACACCGTAGTCTTGAGTCATCGTGTAGAAATATTCCTTGCCTTTGTCTACTAGCCCTGTGTGACTGCACGCAGATAGTACCGCAACCTGCGAAAAGACAGCAATCAGCATGTTATTAGAAGATAGTACTGCAATTTTGATAACGCCTAAGACAAATGCAAAGAAATGTGTTTCTGTTTTTACCAAGGTAGCATCATCTGGTTTCAGTCCTTCGCTCTTCATCAACTCGAAGAACCTTAAAGCCTCTTCTCCGAATCCGTGCCTTGAGTAACCTGTAATCATTGTGTTCCAAGAGACAATGTCCTTGCCAGTCATCTCCTCAAACAAGTCATTGGCTTCTTCTATGCTTCCACATTTGCAATACATCAGCAAAAGCGCATTCCCAACGAAGCACCCAGTCTCATACCCACCTTTAACCAATCGTCCGTGCAATTGCTTCCCGAGCTCAAGAGCAACAACATCTGCACACGTGCTTAGAGCAGATGAGAACGAGGATCGATTCAATCTTCCGCCTTCTCTCTCCATTTGCACAAACAAACGCAGAGCTTCATAGCCATGTCCGCTTTGTGAATACCCTGCAATCATAGCGGCCCAAGAGACTGGATCTCTCTTAGGCATTTTGTCAAAAAGGTTCTTAGCTTCAGAAACATCACCACACTGAGCATATCCAGTTATCATCGTGTTCCATGTACTAACATTGCGAAAAGGCATAACATCGAACAATTCCTTTGCCATCTCCATTCTCTCACCCTGCACATATCCTGCAAGCATGGCATTCCATGATACTTCATTTCTCTCTGGCATTTTGTCGAACAATTCTCTCCCTTCTTCCACCATTCGGTTTTGTACATATCCTGAAACAATTGCTGTCCATGTAAACACATCTCGAACAGGAGACTCGTCAAATAGTTTCCGCGCCTCATCTATCTTCCCGTTCTGTGCATAACCAGTGATGATCGTATTCCAGGAAACCACATCCGTCACACTCATACTATCGAAAAACTGTCTTGCCTCGATGATCTTTTTCTTCTTAACAAACCCACCAAGCAAGCAATTCCACGAAACCAATGCCCAATTCTCTCTTGACTCAAACAAACTACAAGCTTCCTCCATCCTACTGTTCTGAACATACGCAGAGAGCAACGCATTCCACGATACTTCGTTCTTCTCAGGCATTCGATCAAAAATTCTCCTTGCTTCATCAACACACCCATTCTGAGCATATCCAGACAATATCGTATTCCACGAACAAACATCTCTCTCAGGCATTCTCTCAAACAACTCCCTAGCTTTACCAAGATTCCTGTTCCTCACATACCCTTTAATCATCACATTCCACGAAACCAAATCTCGTTCAGGCATTTCGTCGAACAGTTTCCGCGCGAGTTCAAACTCTCCATTTCTCAAGTAACCAGAGATCATAGCGTTATAAGATACAGAGCTCCACCTAGGCATGCGTTTAAACACACGAAGCGCTTCGTTGCACCTTCCATTACGCATGTAGCTGCTTATAGCTACATTCCACTCTTTTATATCCTCGTCTCCAGATTTGCTCTTCTGGGTTTGGGTTTGAGTTTGATTTGTGTTCCACGAGTGAAACTTTACTCCACCGTTTGGTTTGAATCTCGACTTGACTCCATTGAAGGATGTATGTTGCTGCTTCTGAGCTCGCCACGAGAAAAAACAAAGCTTTTCTAATCGTTTGTTCCCACGCATCGGATTTGACAAAAATGATTGTTAGGGTTTCGTCAGAAATTAAAAAGAAGGAAGAAGGATCTACGAGAGAAACCTTAATAGTCAAATCGAAGAAAAGGATTTATAGAGATTAGAATCGTCTCATATCAATCTGTAATTACTGAGTATCAATCTTCATATCTTGGCTAATTAGGAAACTATATATAATAATCGCTTATATATTTGTACAAAACTCTATTGAGAAATATACGGAACTCTCCAAAATACATCAGAATTCGAAATCAAATGGCGCGCGAGGAATTGAAGAACAAAATGGTTTCAAAGTTTTTTTTTTTTTAAAAGACGAGAGAGGTTGACGTCATCATTCACGGTCGTTGACGTCATCCGTAGATGGGCTTAACGAAACAATCCAAAAACCATATTCGGATTAGGTCCAATAAATTATTGACCGAGACCAAATCACCCCCAAATAAATCGCAAACATTTTTCTAGTTACCCGTAAATAAATCCTTGTTTTGTCGCATTTATCATAAATCTTTCAACTTTTGTTTCTCTTACACCATAACTAGATTCTATATGTGATTCTGTTATCATTTTTTTAGACAAAAATCTAACTTATCATTGATTTATGATAAAAGGATAATTGTGAGGTTTATTTATCAGACTCCAAGAGTGGCTTGTAGCCATCCAGGAATAGACAAATCTAAGTACAAAATCGTATGAAAAAATTAGGATTCTATATATCTACAAAAAAATCCCCATGTCGAACCATTTGGAAAAACCATTGATTTTAGAAATCACGGACTGAAAATTTCAAAATATTAAGCAGCTTATAAGCTATAACTCCCTGATCCATAA